TCGATGAATAATGAATATTTACAAGTATTGTTTTCATTTCTTTTAATTATAATAATTTATAAAGTTTCAAAAATCTTTTCAAACTTCTTCAAATCTCTGACCGTTTTAGGTTATTAAGTTACTGAGTAAAAACTATATTTACTAATCAAAAATTGAAAAGCTTAATACAAATCATCACGTACTAAGATTTTCAAAATAATTTTAAATTTTGTTTTTATGTGTCTAAAATTCTCATTTTGAAATTATGTGTAACCATACACGACAATATCAAAAATTAGATGGGTGACTATAGTAAATTTAAAAGTCAACATTCCTAAAATTAGAAAATGGAGAATAATTTCCAGCATTTTTAAGATGACTGAATGCTTAAAAATTACATAAAAAACGCGTTCACCCATCATTTTCTTAAATTATATTATAACAGATAAAGTCTCCGTAGAACGACGATAAACCAGTCAACACATTCGCAGTGATTCTTATCGCTCGTCAATCATGTAACAAGTACGTAACCACCACTACAATTTTCATTTTAAAAAAATCCATTTCTGTGTAATTTTAAACTTAAAGTAAATACTACTTTTTCAAATCAGATTAATTTATGCTTTAATTCAGCTAATATTCCTCAAATAAAGTCTCAGAAAAGTATGTTTTATTTTTTGAAGATTTTTTTAATAAAGAAAATGACACATATTAGAGAGATAACTAAAAAGTAATCAGATATTTTTAGCCAAAAAAAAAAAAAATGAACTGATTCCAATCAATATAGTTTCCGTTTCTACAGAGTATTTTGTTTATTGGAAATAGTAAATTGTGAATTCTTTTGCTTTCAATTGAAGCTAAAATAAAAACTTCAAGAAAACATCTAAATTTTCAAAATTCATCTTAAACCTTAGGTATCGCGAATTAGTGGAGGTAACTAGTCTGAACGAACTGACTTACCCAATACAATAGCATTTTTAACAAGGTCCTACCTACATGGTAATGGGGTGCTTTTATCTAAACCTGTCACCGTATCGTACCCATTTGGCTGTGATGTGTCTGGTATCCATTTAGCAGATTAGGTCTCTAGATGGTCTTTAGATATTTGTAACCCCACTTTGTTGGAATGATTCTCTCAATAATAATAATAATAATAATAATAATATTAATAATAATAATAAACATATAAATAATGATAAAATAATAATGATAATAATGAGTGAGAATTTTAATTTTGGTGGTAGCTAGGAGCTTGAGAAATGACACAAAATGTAAAATCTATTTTGATTTTTCTTTGTTTCTTTTCCTTTGCTTAATGAATTCCTTGACGATCCTTTCGCTAACTTGTGTTGGGAAGTGATCTACTCTATAAAACTGGATTACTATTTTTATGGGAACTTACCCATCAATTACTCAAGAGGTATGAGATGATTTTCAGTCGAGGAGAGATATTGAGAGCATATTGTAAGGACATTGGAATAGTGATACTTGTCGAGACAACATAGTTCACTCTAACCAAATCTGATAGTCATTACTAATACTTTTACTTCTTTGTATTATATTTCTGCTGTAATATATCTTTGTATTCCATACCTGTCCGACTTATATTCATTTTAACTTATTATACTCAATACCATTTCCATATCACTATGCTAACCACTGAATACTGTACGAAATGATGAACTCTAGACATCTGAATATACCTATCTCATAAGCAGAACGAGCTCTTTAATCTTGTTTGACAGTCTGGTAACTTGAACAAAATTGACCATTGAGGGTCAAGGATAAAACGCAAAAAATTACAAATATAAAAATTTTCTATATCTCCTGCTAAAAAAGAATGAAACAGACGACCCGAAAAGTTATAGGCCAAAAACATGTCTGTCCACCACGTATAAATTTAGCACGTCATTTCTTGAAGCAAATAACATTCTTACACTGAAATAGTAGGGATGCCGGAAGGCTTATATGATTGGAAAGATCAACTACTGACGAACAAAACGATCCTGGAAATTGCAGAAAAGGAAGTAGAAATTTCAGTACAGCATGGATAGATTAACGTGAAACCTTTCATAGTGTGTCACACTCTTGAGTCCTTAATACTGGAAATGTACAAAATCTCCTTCTTTGTAGAAACTTTTCTTGAAACATATTATACCAAAATGGCACAAGAGGCACTGCCACCTCCAACGACCTGAATATCTAACGAGGAATCTTTCAAGGAGACTCCGTGTCACCCCTTCTGTCCTTAATCCCCCTTACGCATGAACTAAACAATAATAGATATGGATAAAAATTAAACAAGAAAGACGACGGGTCTCCTCAATACAGCAAAATGTTTCAGTGACAACATAGGTTAGGATTTCGGATTAGATAAAAGTGTAAAAGCAACATACAAAAAAAAAGGAAGAATTACAGAAACACACTTAATAGATCTAGATTTTGTCACAATGATTATGGAACTGGAAAAATGGGAAGCCTGTAGGTACCTAGGAATTAGTGAAGGAGATGAAATACAGCATACCCAAATAAAGGAGGATTTAAGAAAGAAATACTATAGATGTGTGGATCAGATACTAAATAAAGAGCTGAATAAAAAAAAAAACAGCAGAATATTAGCTATCAACTTGGCTGTCCCTGTCTTGCAATAGTTTCAACATCCTTAACTGTTTCATAGCTGACATTAAGCAAATTGACGCCAAAACGAGAAAGCCTCTACTGTGCCACCTCATGCATCGTCCCAAGGCTGATGTTGATTCTCTGTATGTGCCCAGATCCGAAAGAGGCAGAGGATTAGTTTAACTAGAACTGTCTTATAAAACTACAACAATTGGCCTTCAAAGATACCTGAAAACTACAGAAGGCTGGATGTGATATGTGTCAAAGAACATGAAAGTAGTAAGCGACTTTATTCAGTAATAAAGGAAGCCAACAAGTTCATAATGGAGTTTCAAATATGTGAAGAAAAAAATAAAGCACAATACACCGATTGAAGCAGAAAAATACTTAAAAAAGAAAGCAAAATCAAATACAACCAACCAGATACATAAACGATGGCAAGATAAACCATTTCATGTCCAATACTCTGCCCGTACCAAGCTGATGTAGACAAACACCATACCCATCCGTGGCTACGTAGTGCAGGGTTAAAAAGCCGAAGGTTTCATTCTTGCTGCACAGGACCAATGCTTACTAACTAGAAATTACCAAAATGCAGTGTATATATATATATATATATATATATATATATATATATATATATAGATAGATAGATAGATATTTCTTCAGAGAGACAAGTTCCGTTTTTCGAATAAATAGTTGTGTATTGAAATAGAAACTCTCCGGAATTATTCGAAAATTAAAAAAAAGTACTGACCGACATTGTCCGTTCATTTTAATCAAACCTGTTTTTTATTATATATATATATATATATATATATATATATATATATATATATATATATATATATATATGCACTGTGTGTTTACCTGTAAATGACACGTTCTTAATAAACAAAGATTCTGATACTGTTAGATAAAATGTAATTGCAATAAAATTCATAAATTAATTTTTATAGCTAGTTAAGGAATGTTAAATAATAGATTCAGACTATTTGCATTATTCGGACCATTGTACTCATCTTTATCGCCATATTTATTACAATGTTTCGGCCGCTATAGGCTCCGACCTTCTTCAGGTGGTTGGAATGTCGAAATGAACCCTTGATTTCTCTCACTGGGGTAGACTGTTCTAGTTCCACGTGCCATGTTTTTAATGGATGTCAGTTATCAGTTATCTCCTGCAAAAGAATTCACAATTTACTACGAAATGGGTTCAGTTCGACATTCCAACCACCTGAAGAAGGCCGGAGCGTACAACGACCGAACCGTTGTAATAAATATGGCGACAAAGATGAGAACAATAGTCCGAATAATGTAAATAGTGTACATAATACCTCATCTCAGAAATGCAAACAGGTACGAATAGTCTCAGACTATTACTTTTTTTTAGTAGCAGTGTATTTTGACTCAGATCTTCTGAGGCTAATCTTTAACATCAAATGGTAAACTAAATAAGGAAGTCGTTTTTGATTGGTTAAAACTAACATGGGAATGTTAGACTGATAGAAAGTGATTTCAGTGAGTTAAATTTTTGCACGTCATACACAGTAGACGTGGTTATTTCGTGTCTCGGGGAAATTGTTCCCCAGTCGTGGGTGGGTGATAGAACGACCCCACAGCTAGTCAAAGATATACACGTCGACAAGCTTAATAAAGTAGTTAAGTTTGACCTCCCACCTATTTTTTTGAAGTTCTCATTTTACCGCCGAACTAAAAACCAACTAGCGATCACCCTGCCGAGTGAAGAAAGAGAGGAAGACAACTTTGTTATGATCGCATCAAGACTGTCAACCAAAAGATCCCCAGAACGACGGCTGGGGGGCTATACAGCATTTTGCTTATTTGGCGCAGTGGCCAAGAACTCCCCAGAATTGAGTTGTTATAGAACAATACAAAATCATATGTTTGTTCAGATATTGCTAATTTAATCCATTTGTGAACTTTTCAACATAACCTTTTATTAATACAATAAGATAAGTTTGTCTATCGTCCGTTTCATATCTCTCCACGTTTTGTTTTGTTTTTTTTAACTTGAGTATAAGTATATCCCTTGATTACTGTTTTGGATTGGCCTTTGCCGTTCATTCTATTGTTTACTTCAACTTTATTCTAAAATTTACAGCAAAATTTTGAAATTTTATTTCCTCTTTATTCATACATTTTCAGTGTAGGTGAAGAGAGGTTCGCCTATTGCCCAGTACACAACCCTCTCCAGGTTCATGAACAGCAAGAGCGGGGTTCATCCCTTGTTTCGTGATTAGAATTGGCTTTCCGGTTAATTCTAAGGTCTTCTCATACTCTTTTACTCCTAGGAGTCACTTGCGTCTCAGTTGGATTATCACCGTGCTTGGAATGAATTGATTGAAAGGAAATCTATCTTATTATCTATATATCTATTTATGTCTATTATCTATCCCATGTACCCTATCTGTCCATCTCAGACTTTCACTTCAATAACTTATTATAAAGCCTCAAGCATCTATCTTATCTATCTATCTATCTATCTCAGATCTATCTATCTATCTATCTATCTATCTATCTCAGTCTTTTATTATCTATCTATCTATCTATCTATCTATCTATTCATCTCGATCTCTTATTATCTATCTATCTATCCTCTATTTATCTCAGTCTTTTCATTTATCTATCTATCTATCTATCTATCTATCTATCTATCTATCTATCTCAGTCTCTTATCTATCTATCTATGTATATATAAACACGTTTTAATCTATTATCTAAATCTATTTTATATATTAGTGTTTATTTATGTCTCTTTATCTATGTGCATGTAAACACGTTTTTAATATTAAATATATTAGATGTTTCATTGAATTTCATGCCAAAAAATATCCCTCTTGGCCACAATTCTCTTAACGTGCATAGAAACGCGTCACCACGAAAAAGGAAATAAGCAGTAAAAATGATAGCCAGCTAATCGGCTCATGGACAGCTAACCTCTGTCGTGGTTTTACACCACCAGCTACCGACCAAGCTCCTTATGGGAGATGATTTAAATTCCTGGCCTTGATTTTCTGGAATCTGTTTAGTAAATAACTTTACTGAAAGAGAAGAGTGAGAAATAAGAGAGAAGGAGGAAAAGAAAGAAAAAAAAAGGCGAAGGAAAATTGAAATAATCATTGCGAACATCTAGACGAATTTTATTTTTAATCTCGGGATGGTGATCGTGAGTTGGAAAATTTGTCATGAAAAAAAAAAAAGAATTAAGCGAGATAAAAAGCGAAGGTAGAAATTTTGTAAATAATAATAAAAATATTCAAGATTGTAAGAAAAATAAAAGAAACTATAGTGCGTAATTTCAAAACCTGTAAAGAAGGGGAAAATAAAAGAATGTGAAGAAGCCAAATTTTTCTGTAATCCTTGCTAAATAAAAAAAAAATCAGTGGTAAGGAGCCTCAAATTCAAATAAATAGACAATCAGTTAAGAAATAAGCAGACCAACAGTAAAATAAAATAACAGAAAATATGTTAAATGTGTAAATTAGAAATTAATAGAGGCAGTTGCAATGGTGGACGAATATTGGAGAAGTTTCATCTTTACCGGAAACTGCTGATGTTGGCTGGCGTTAAAATTACTTGTATACACTGTTTATATGGATGTGTTTATCTATTATTTATTTATTCTCTCAATTTTGTATACAATCATTGCATTTGTTTGTACGGTTTATTTGTTGCTGAAAATGTCCTAACGTTTAGGATAAAGTAACGATAATTTCCTGTTGGATATATTAAATGCCTTGAGGGTTAAGTTTCCGACACAGTTTCATCTTGAAGGTTGACCAGACCGTCAGTGTATTTTCGATGGCGCCTACAAATTACATTGGCTTTGTATCCATGCAATAATTTATACGTAGAGAGGATACAAATAATGCCAGCAAACTTTTATAACAGAATCTTATTCATAAAAACTTCAGGATCATTATTCAGTCACCGGAGCAGAGAGTGTTTTTTTTTTTTTTTTTTTTTTTTTTTTTTATTAGCATGACAAGGCTTTGGTTAGTCCTAAACTTAAGTATATTTCAACTGCGAGACTAAAATATTTTTTCATTAGCATAGTTTATAAGCATTAAAAGTTAGATTAATCCAAAATTATGTGTATATTAAACATGAACGATACTTTTTAGTTAAGATCAAACTCATATGCATGACAAATCCAAAAATATTGAATATTTTTTTTTTAAAAAAAGCAAGGCTAAGATTATTAAATACATTTTAAGCATAAACTAGTATCAGAATTTTGGATTACCCCGAAGATTATAAGCATGGCAAGTTAAAAAAAAATAACTGTTTTAAATATGAAACGGTCAGTTTTTATAAACGAAATTTACGCATATTTAAGCATTAAGAGATGCAAAGGTACACTTAGTTTTGTATATTATCATTAGATCTCTTGATACTGTACACAATAATTAGAAACATCCTTGGAAGTAAGGTGGGAATAATGGATAGTCGCTCGGATTGAGAAAATCTTAATTCCAGTCGAGTTCCTTAAATTCACTTACGTGTTATTACCCTTAGAAAAGTTATGAATCCATGTCTTTTCCCCAGATATGGGTAAATAGCAGGACAGAATGTGTCCTGGGGGTCTTGGATGGCGAACGGTCTAAAAAAAGGAAAACTCTGAATTCAAAAGCTGCGGAAGGATGTTACAGGGGGGAGCTTGTCGCATACCGTGAAACAGTCCACTGTATTTGATTTTTCCAAAAATTGTCGTTGATACACTATAATCAAAATGAAAAAGTACGGCTATTCTGGCTGTTTGCTTTGAGAACTGAGCTGCTTGTCCCATATACGTGGAAAACGACAGGAGAGTTCAGTGTACAGTATTGACACACACACACACACACACATATATATATATATATATATATATATATA